GCATCACGCTGAGACCGAATGTTTTTCTTTAAACAATAATGCACAGACAACAGGAAGCTGTCCTGGACGTCTGCTCATTGTGCAGCCTGTCAGAAGTCAGTAAGGTAATACTTTACACCACCACCAGCTGCTTTTATTTACACAAAGAGCACTTCCATTCTGAGCATCCCTGTCCATCTAAGGAGATGTTGCTGCACACCTTACACACACAATTTTCCTTGCTCTGCGTTGTGTTGTACCCTCATACTTGGCTGTGTGTTCTGTCTGCCTGTTAAGCCTTGTCATGATTCCCAGTCTAGTTAGTTTTCTGTTCTTTTTGGCGTCCACCAAATAAAGCTGTTCTGAGTTTAGTTTTGCCATCTTGAGTCCTGCACTTGGGTCCTCCGTTCCTGCCTGCTGCACACAGACCATGACAATATATGATGCATGATGTCTTATGATCTGTCACTTTGTGTTTGATAGCAGGAGTTAGGGCAGGGATTACAAAGGAATGAAAAAGTAGTGTGAAACTAAAGAAATAAAATAAAGAAAACATTTTCTTAAATGATGGTGAGAAGTAAAGTTTATCAAGAATACAGAGAGGCTGTACACCTGCTTCTTCTTCTTCTTCTGAAAAGTTAGGAAGTAAAATAATCAGATAAATATGTAAATAAACAAATAAATATAGCTGAAAAAGCCCACAGAAATACAGAAGTCCACTGGTCTCTAAAATAAGCTAAAGCAACACATGATCAGCAGTTTAAAATGCATATGTGTGTGTTTTTAACACTAGATGGCGCCATCAACCCAACCATCAGCTCTGAGCGACTCAGCCTCTTCATCTTTAGGGCAATGATACAAAATTCAATTATTTGTACCTTGACAGTATACTTTGTGGCATCTGTTGCTTTACTGTAAATCTCAAGAAACCCTGTTTAAAAAAAAGATTGCAATGAGTTATACGCTAAATATATTTTCATTTTAAGTCTGATAGAATTAAAAAATTTCAAATTAAATGTTTAAAAAAGGCAGAGAAAAGAATTAAAGATACAAAGATATGGGGCAGGGGATGCCTCTGAATCTGGAACTGAGTACTTTTACATTAGTACTTTAAGTGCATTTTGATGCTATACCTGTACTGTATCACTGAAGTAAAGAAGCCCGTTTCATAAAATTGTTATTCTATACAAAACCATATTACTAATAAGCCACATAGCATTCATTTGTGTGCTGTTTTTTCACTACATAAAAATAATGTCTGTAGTAATTATGGGATTATTAGGAGGAAGACATTAATGCCATAAACGTTTAATGTACTGCTGTATAAACTGTCTCCTTCCTTCCTGTATTCCAGTCTGTGTTTAGTGGAGGAGGACCCCGGGTTTCCTTCTCAGCACATCCTGACTGGGTGGAGCTCCTGGATGACAGTGGTTTTCCTGCTTGAGGCTCAAACAGGCCTAAACTATTCAGAGTTATTTTAGAAGTTTCATCCCAAATCCCTGTGGGTTTGGTCATCATGTGTCTGGCAGGGTTTTCTCTGTGCTCACATTATTTTCATGTCATTCTGGTACATTTCCCTTTAACGGAGAGGCTGAGGTGGTAGTCATTTGCAAGCTGTTTGTTTTAATTTTGAACATAAAGCCAGGTAACACTGAACTTGACCCCTAATTGAGTCAAGCATTCTAATTAATCAGTATTATGCAGCTCTATGTATGCAGTGCATTGGGTAAAAATGAAAAAATGGAGCAAGCGTGACCCAAAAATAAGATCACACAGACAGTTGGAGGACAATTATAACAAACATATTTTGACACACAGTTTATAAATGTCAAATATCTGTGTATATTTGTGATTTCTGCAGCTGTCTTCCTTTCCTCTCATAATGCCCTTCATCCATCAAGCTGCTTCCTTCCTTTGTCTCCTTCCTTTCGTTCCTTCAGACCAAACAATAGTTAACATGAGTGAAAACATCATTAACGAAGCAAAAACAGGCACGATATCAATTCAACCTCCTAGGACCCTGTGTCCACATATGTGGACATCACATTTTGGGTTATTTAGACTAAAATACTCAATTTTGCTCTACATGTGCCTGATATCCACTTACGAGGACATTATACTGCTACTGTTCTATGAAAATTTTAATATCCTCATATGTGGCTCTTATTTTTCTTAAAAACAAAAATATGGTTAAAAAAAATCTGGTAATTCTTTGTTTTTACATTCATCGGGCCCCAATATGCCCAAATATCAAAGAGAAATTAAAAATGCATGCTGTGGAAGAGTTCGGGGCTTAGTAGGTTAAATTACACCATAATTATTTTATATATTAATAGGTGCCTGCTAATATAATCTTACTGTGGTCTGTAGTCACTTTAATAAACGTTTTATAGAAAACGAAGATTTCTAAATTATGTCAGTTTGTATTATGGCTGTCTCAAAAAAAAACATCTCCTACACTGCATAGCCTTTCCACAGTGTCTACTCTTTCATATACATATGGTGAAAACTGTCTTCTAGAGTCCTCTGCATTGATTGTTGCCAATGATACACTTAAGGAGGTACCCGAAATGTAAAACACCTACTTGAGACACAGATAAAAAATAACACTTTATTCATGTGTTAGAAGATCATATTGCATGGGGTGGTGGGGGTTGGAGAGTTAACTTAGGAACAGAGTTGGGGTCCCAGACTCAGGAGATATAAGTTGGGGTTTTTCTTACAGCTGCGCCAGAGCTCTGAGGAAGTGGCACTAATATGAAAACTATTACCAAGCTTTTAACACAGACTAAAAGGCCAGCTGTCTCACAGTCTGTCTGGCAACAGTTTAGGGTTTCAGTGCACCAAACTCTCAATAATCAGTCAACATTAACAGAGGAAACATCGAGTGAGGGAAATACTCCACATCACCTGCTCTTCACTAATGTATCCAAGACACTGTGTAGTTCCCAGAGCCACACGCACAATCACTGAACAGTTTGTCGCACCTCCGCCTCCCTGTCCCGCTGTCAGCCATCTGCCCATCTGCTTTCACTGACATAGCTGCCAGTGTGTAATTTAATCAGAGCCCTTTTTACCAGCATGCTCGTGTCACACTGTATGGATTCACACTCTTTAAGCTATCTGGAACTGAGAGGCTGACTGCTGTCGCTTCATCTTTGGGTGCTAATTAAAAACATCTGGAGCAGAGCTGGAGGGCAGCAGAACATGTGGCATCAAACTGCAAGACTGAGCCAGTGACCCCTGCACACACCTTCACAATGCTGACCTTAGACCTCTGTCACTCTGTGATTTCCACTGAAGACTATTAGGAGTGCAGAACAGCAGGCTGATGCACAGGAGGCGCCCTCATTAGTGACGGAACGACACACATGACATTTTTCCAAAGAACTGCTCCTTAATAATGTGTTTGACAGTTTAAGCTGCCACACGTCTCCAACACCTGAATTTCTCTCTGGTTTCCGCTCTACTTGTTATTATTTTTATGACGACAAAAACTTCTAACTCAGACTCTCTTTAGTTATTTTGCTGTCGTTTCATTATTTAGAAAGGATGAGTGTCTTTGAGTACTAAAAGTTACCCGACAATTCTTTTTTTAAGTATCTTTAGTCAATATCTCCGAGTCAGAATAACTATCATAAGGGGCTCAAAATGCTGTAAACATGCTTTCATCGTTATGGCCAAAGGAGGGAGGAAAAACATGTTTCAGTGTAACATTTGTCACTGCAGTGCAGCAAGTTATTGTACTGAAGTCAGTAATCACTTTATGGTTACAATTATCTTGTTGCTTGCATCACAAAGGTTGTTGAGTTGTCTACACACCAGCATCGAATGTGTCCTTTTCTTCCTGCTCAGTTGTGCTACAGTCAGCTGATTGTGGTTTGTGTGCAGTGAGGAGGACAGTGGTGGAGCGGTATCTAACTTTTGAGAAGCAGAGATTTGCAGATTTTTATATCAGCAAAGGACAAAGTGCAACGGTAAAGTGCAAAATGCATCAAAGTATTATACTGCTAACACAACAACATCGACTGTTTGCAAACATCTGCTGAGGGACGAGGAGTCAGGCTTGTAGCATTGTAGACTTCATTTCTACCTTTACATGTCTCTACGGTGGAATCACCGTGGGGACACTGAAGTCTCTTTGGACTGGCTTTAAACCACTTTTTGCTTTATGTTAGGAGCATTGTGTTCAAGCTTAAACAATAAAAGAAAGAGTGTATGTGTTGGCGTGGAAGACTGTAATGGTATGTGACAGCACACTTCAGGTTATGTTAGTGAGTAAAACAATCGTGACGTAATGAGTAGTGTAATAAATTACTTTCTTCGGAGAGTAAGAAAGTAATGCATTGCGTGACTTTTAAGAAAAGTAAAGTGTAATGCTTTATATTTTCGACTACGGACCCCAACAGTGAAAACGACAACAAACAGAAAACCTTCAATAAAAACGTGCAGAACAACACAGAGAGACACATAATGGCCTCCATGAAGCAAACAGACCAAAGTAAATTAAAAAGAGGCTTTAACACCCGCACAGTCTTTGAAAGCAACACAGCAGCACAACAGAAAACACGAGAAAGCAGGAAACATACCCTTTTAGTCATGGTCGTCGGTTCTTGGGTGCTTGGGTCTAGGTTTTTGTTCTGTTTGGTTCTGAGAAGTAATTGATTCATTTAGTTTTCTTATAATAGTATAGCATATAATAGTAATATTTTGCATTTCCTTGTGCTTTTAAGTTTTGATATTTACTAATATTATGATCTCAGACGACACATGAGCAACAAGTATAAGTTTTTATGGCAGCTTTTATATTGATACTTTTTATAATTTAAATGTTTTATTGTTTTTATTATTCGCCAAAAATGGCGAAGGTATGAAAGTGAACCACTTAATAAAGCAAAGCAGTAGTGTTTGTAGAATCCTCAAACCCCAGCGTGCATTCAAATGTAATTGAAATGGGCCGTTTCCTGTTTTTCTTATTTTATTTTGAAATCTTAGCGGAAGTTGTGTTCTTGGTGCCTTTTTGCTAACTTGTTTGTAGAGGGAAACTTTTCTCCAAGGTTCGCGCTCCTCCTCTTCACGCTCCTGACGTGCAGCCACTTCAGCGGCGTACTCTTTAAGCATTAGCCGCTTTACGAAGTCATCTCTCGGGCTTTTTTCACTTCTTTTCTTAAAACCACCGAGCAAAAGCCTTTCCTGCTATTTTTCAGTGGAAATTCAAAATAAATTCCAAGGAATCAACAGCGTGGACCGAGGCGGGATGGGGCGGTCCAGTTGAAGTTGCGAGCTAAAGACAGGCTGAGTCTCCTCCGGTGCTCCCACCACAGTAACGCCAGTCCCCGCCTTGGAGGCCATGGGCTGCGGCTTGCGAAAACTAGAAGACCCGGAGGATAGCAGCCCCGGGAAAATCTACTCCACCTTGAAGAGACCGCAGGTGGAGACCAAAACAGACACCGTGTACGAGTATGTACTGCTAGACTTCAGCTTGGAAGGTAGGCGTGTGGCATATTTAATCCATCAATCGATTAGCTGACAGAAAATGTCTTGTTTGAAGATGTCCCATCAGTGTTTTAGAGCTGCACATATTTCTTATAACGATGATATTCATCCTCTGTTGCTTCACACTCTGAATACAAACTACAGCAAAGATAAACGGAGTGACAGAAAATGACCCACTAACAGTTTCTGATAGTCCGTCGCTTTTTGTGTTGCAACATCATATTCATGAGCACATAGCAGGTTTTCTTTGTCTTATCAGAAATCTATTTGCGTAATCTTATTGTTTATACTGATATTGGAACATGTTTACTGTTTTATACAGCAAATGATTCATGAGAAAAATTTTACATTTAACTTTTAACATTTTCCAAGTGCTTCAAAGTTAAAACGATTAGTTGATTAATCAACTGATTGACAGCAAATGGATGGCAACAGTTTTGGTGGATTCTTAACCTGATGCTCAGAACAAATGAAGCAACTTAAAAACAAACAAAAATATCATTGTATTATTATTGTTTTTATTATTATTATTATTATTATTATTATTATTATTATTATTATCATTATTATTATTATTATTAGTAGTAGTAGTATTAGTGTCTGCTCAGTGATTGACTTTTCCTCCTGTCACCATGTCACAGGCTGGACAGGGCAGAGTCATGTGACAAGATACAATGGGGAAGTATTAACAGAATTTAAAACCAATAACAGTAATCAACACGGGCAGATTATATCAGTTAGAGGATCTGAAGAGGTTAATTTTTAGCCAATCTCCCAGCCTTACAATCAAGTATGCTGTGAGATGTTCTTGAGCTGAGGCAGTGATTTGATTATTCAAAATGTTGATTGAACATTTTTGGTCAGCTGTTGTAGCTGTAGGCTTGTTGTCAGTTTTTCAAATTAAAAGGACTAAACTATGGAAGCCCGTTTCCGCCACTAAAACAAAAAAAAGCTAGTATCCATAACTCGAAATTTCGAGTTATTTTCTCGAAATTTCGAGTTATTATCTCGAAATTTCGAGAAAATAACTCGAAATTTCGA